ATAACATAAAAGCCGCTGGGCCGCGGCGGCCAAGCCTGTTCATCCAGCACTTTGGGAGGCGAGACGGGAAGGATCACAAGGTCGAGGAGATCGACGACCATCCTGGCTAACATGATGAAACCCCGCCTCTACTAAAAAATACAAAAAACTTTAGCTGGGCGAGGGGGGCAGGGGGGCGCCTGTAGGTCCCAGCTACTCGGAGGCGTGAGGCAGCCTGGCTACTTTTTCATATTTTTTAGTAGAGACGGGGTTTCACCATGTTAGCCAGGATGGTCTCGATCTCCTGACCTCATGATCCACCCGTCTCGGCCTCCCAAAGTGCTGGGGTTACAGGCGTGAGCCACCGCACCCGGCCACAGCTCCGCCCTTCTAATGTGCTTTCTGCTTCCGCTGTTCCTCAGATGAAGTGAGGTAGCCGTGCTCCTGGCTACATCAGTCACATGGAGATAGTTTCAGTCCTGCTCCTGCTGTACATTCTTTGCTAGGTATAGCTTTTCCAGGACCTGAGGAGTCGCATAGCTGGATGTCCAGCTGCAGTGAACTCTTCAAACCAATGGTTCTGCATACTCATGACCCCCCACCTTGCACACGAAGGGCACTCAGTGGCTCTTGAATAATAAGTAGTAGGATTGAAATCCAGAGTAGGTTAAAAGCAGACTCCTAGATCACACTGCTTATATACCTTACAACTCCAGGGAAATAAACTCCAAAGAACAGGGAATGTTGAAGGAACCAGAGCTCTTTCTACTCTCTATTTTCAGCTAAAAGAAGGAAGAGTGAGGGCCAGGCATGGTGGCTCATACCTGTAATTCCAACACTTTGGGAGGCTGAGGCAGGTGGATCACAAGGTCAGGAGTTCGAGACCAGCCTGGCCAACATAGTGAAACCCTGTCTCTACTAAAAATACAAAAAAATTAGCCGGCGTGATGATGGGCATCTGTAATCCCAGCTACTCAGGAGGCTGAGGCAGGAGAATTGCTTGAACCTGGGAGGCGGAGGTTGCAGTGAGCCGAGATCGCGCCATTGCACTCCAGTCCCAGCAATAGTACAAGACTCCGTCTCAAAAAAAAAAAGGAAGAGTGAATTATAAGCCTCAATTGGAGGATGACATACCAATGTTAAAAAGAGGACATGGTGATCATTAAGGGTAGTACTGGTTCAGGATCAACATAATTAAGATAACATGCAAGATTTAGCTATTAATTTGAGATTAAAAAAATAGTAAACTTAAACTCTGAGTGTATGTTTACCTTGTGTAACATTGAAATGACCTCCACTGGTACATTTCAACTCTGTAAACATGGATGGCTCTCACTAAGAGCCACAGTGTTGTTGATCAGCATGTGGATCATGTATCTCCGTTACCAAGAATGTAAATGTAACAGCTAATGATCTGTCAGATTGTGACAAATTTTGCTATTCAAGATAAGTACTTTTAAAATCTTTTTAATTGCGTCACTGCCTTTACTAGAAACTTCAGTCAGTCTGTAGCCACTAGCTTTGGCATTAGAGGAATCATCAAATCATTTCTCACTTTACTAAATTTCTTATATACTAAATGTCTTACTTGATGTTCCAAAGCTGGTAATGGTAATAAGAGCAATGCCTGTCTGTGTATAAATAGTCAAAATAATTGAGGGCCAGGCACTATGGCTCATGCCTCTGATCCCAGCACTTTGGGAGGCCTAGGCAGGTGGATCACTTGAGGCCAGGAGTTCGAGACCAGCCTGGCCAACATGATGAAACCTTGTCTCTACTGAAAATACAAAAATTAACTGGGCATGGTGGTACACACCTGTAAGTAATCCTAGCTACTTGGGAGGCTGAGGCAGGAGAATCACTTCAACCCGGACAGCGGAGGTTGCAGTGAGCTGAGACCGTGCCACTGCACTCCAGCCTGGGTGACAAAGTGAGACTCCGTCTCAAAAAAAAAAAAAAGTTAGAAGTTGGTTCTGAATGAGAGCAATTTAGATGAGAAAAATATAGGAAATTTTAATGAAAACTCTACCCTTGAAAGTAAACTATGTTTTTCTTCCTTTTAATGTAGGACAGAAATTCTAACCAAGAGGATGACTAATGGTCGGCGCATATACTGTGGCGTTAATGCCCTGCGGGCCAAGGTCAGCCTTATTGAAAGGTAGGAAAAATAGAAACGGACGCCTCTTAACTGTTTCTGTCTCTAGCCAAAGAGAAGTTGTGCAGTGAGATTGCCAAGGTCCAAATCCCTGTTCCAGCATTTCCCGCATGTATTGTGGGCCTATGACCTACCGTTCTGAGTCTCAGTTTACTCATCTTAACTCATCTACTGAGGATGACGATAATCGTACCTACCTCTTAGTGCTTTCAGGAGGATAAAAGAAAATAACATGTGAAACGTACTGTGTACTCCATGTAATTATTCTAGTCTTTGAAGCATTTCATATGGATAAAATTATACACGCCCATTGGAAAATGGGGGCGAATGATTCAGACAGAGCCCTCCTGTGCTCCAGCATGAGCTTGTTGGTGTCATCCTTGCTTGTCTTTGGTTTTGTCTTTGAGTTCCTGGTCCATGCAGGGTCCGCGCTAAAGTGTTGAAGGGTAACGAGGAAAAGGGAGACATGGGCCCGTTTTGTGATGCCTGTGAGACTAGTGGACCTGGCCCACGTCGACTGAGGAACAGCAAAGAGCAGCAGGAGCCTGTAGGTTCTGGCCCTGCTGTCCGCCTTCTTTCCCTCTGCCTCACGCGTGAGCCCTGCCGAAGGCTCACTGTGGGTTTCCTGATCCTCTTTCCTATGCCCCCACCCAGTCTTCCCTGCTAGAGCAGCAGCATAGATTAGCAGATCCAAGAAGGGCATCTCTAGTCAAACAGGCCTGGGTTCCAGTGTTGGCCCCACCTATTAGTCATGCAATCTGGAGCCCGTGACTGAGTCTCTTGGCACCGTTTCCCTGTCTGTAGGTCGGGGGGAGGGTTACTGTAAATGAATGTGTGCGCTTTAAGGTCTTAACCGGCTCGGCGTGGTGCCTTGTGCCCATAATCCCAACACTGGGAGGCCAGGAAGATCGCTTGAGCCCAGGAGTTTGAGACTAGCCTGAGCAACATGTGCAGACTGTCCCTACAAAAAAAATCTAAACAATTAGCCAGGCATGGTGCCACATGCTTATGGTTCCAGCTTCTTAAGAGGCTGAGGTGGGAGAGTCACCTGAGCCCAGGAGGTTGAGGCTGCAGTGAGCCACGATCACGCCACTGCAGTCCAGCCAGGGTGACACAGCGAGACCCAGTATTTTTAAAAAAGACCTTCACAGTGTCTGTCACATAGTACAGATGTCCTCTTACTGTGTGTCTATGTTGAATATGAGGTGGTGTTTTTTGCTGTGAGAAAGCAACATGGTTTGGTGAGAGACACAAAGGGCTCAAAGGAGGAGAGAGGTCTTTTCAGCCCATCTCTGCAGCCCAGCAACTCACTGACCTGGGTTAACCTTGGGCTGGGATGCTGACCTCACTGTGCATGTGTAATGAGGGAGCTGGAATGGGGCGAAAGCATGGATACCTTCCAGCTCTTAACACTCCACGCGTCCATGAAGATGGCTAGTAGCATGCTGATTTTTGCTTGAAAATTTAATTTGTATTTTTTCTCACAGGTTGTATGAAATAAATGTGGAAGATACTAATGAAATAGACTGGGAAGATCTTGCTAGTGCCATAGGGTAAGACCATTTGTTTAATATTAAGGGATGGGGTTTCGCCATGTTGTGGCCCAGGCTAGTCTTGAACTCCTGGCACTTAAGTGAATTTGGAGATCGGGGTTTTGCGCCATGTTGTCGCAGGCTAGTTTCGAACTCCTGGACCTTACTCCCTCTCAAAGTGCTGGGATTACAGATGTGAGCCACCGCGCGCTGGCAGCTTTCTTACCTGTCTTTTTTGTTTTTTTGTTTGTTTTTTTTTTTTTTTTGAGACGGGGTCTCGCTCTGTCGACCAGCAGGCTGGAGTGCAGTGGCCGGATCTCAGCTCAACTGCAAGCTCCGCCTCCGGGTTTACACCATTCTCCTGCGCCTCAGTTCCGTGAGTACGGGGACTACAGGCGCGCCGCCACCTCGCCCGCTAGTTTTGTGTATTTTTTTCTTGAGTAGGAACGGGGTTTCACCATGTTAGCCAGGATGTCTTCGATCTCCTGACTTGTTGAGCCGCCTTCTCGGCCTCCAAAGTGCTGGATTACAGAGGCTGAGCCAACCGCGACACCGCCTTTACTGTGCTTTTAATCCTC